AGAACAACAACTCTATAATGACACAGAGTCATGATAACCGTTGAACTATGTTCGATACATTTAAATAATCCTTAGATTCGATACGTTGTCAGTTGTGATCACATAAAAACTGAGATATTGGGTTTGAAGAAACTAAAATCAACCACAGCTAATCTTCTGGTCACAATGAAGTATTAATTTTCTTACGGTCCCACACCACAGTCAACTAAAACACTGCTACATTAGACAAAACATTTATAAAACCCATGAAGTCATCTTTCCAATCACTGATGTACACACATAACATCACAAACTGACAAGGAAGATAGCAAAATTCAAGGTCTTAAACTCAACTCTCAACTTGCGTCATAGCAAACACAAATATTTTTACCTTGAAACACACATCAATCATTTTCTCCTTTTACAAAATCTGCTGCTTCCAAAACATGACTTCTTCACCGGGCTGCAGAAAGTCTGTCAAAATCCTTTCGTAGAAACGTTATCAAATGTGTATGTTTCATCCTTATATAGCACCATAAAACAAATGATGGTTAGACGTTGTTAAAGATTACATAGAAAAAGACAACACTAACCACCCACAGACAGACAGACAGACAGACAGACAGACAGACAGACAGACAGAGACACACACACACACACACACACACACACACACACACACACACACACACACACACACACACACACACACACACACACACACTGGATAAGTATTCAGCTTATCTACCTTCTTTAGAGTTATTAGTGATTTAAGATTAATTATTAAATGGGGTACATAAGATAAAATAAATAAATAACTTTGACTTGATTTTGTTCACAACATTAGACCTGTCCTCTAATCTCTACTAGAATTAGATTATATCTGACCTGTTGATTCATCATGCCTCTTCCCCCTGAACAACTAGCACCCAAGGAAAGTAGTTGCAAAATACTTAGATAATAATCACAGTCAAATTCTAAGTAACCGAATCAAATATGAGAACATATTATAATAATTTGGAGTTACTTGGTAACAATGATGCAATAGAAAGTCAACATTTTAGTTGCTTGGACAAAACATTGCAAAAATGTAGTTACAAATTATGAAATGAAAAGTCAAAATGTTTACTTTAGTAGGAATTGTTGGAGGAAGTCAAAGTTTTAAGTCAAAATAAAACAAAATTACATTTTTACTTAAATGTTCTCTTTACTTGTCATAAGAGTGTCCATAGTTTAAATTATATTTACCTACATTAAATACAATGTAATTTTCAGTGTTCATTTTGGCAACAAATTTGAATGTCTTTTTGTGATACATTTTGCATTTAAAGCTCACTAAAACATTATGTAAACGTTAGCTCTCTCTTTTAAAAATTATTATTTTTAGAGTTGTTTTTAGTTTTTAAATATCCAACATAGGTTGTTCACGGACTGTTATCAACTAAACTAACTTGATAAGAATAACATTTTGGATTTGGTTAGTTTTTATTTCCAAAGTTTGAATTTGGTTAGTTTTTATTTCCAAAGTTACTCCTTATTTAGATTGTCTAGATTTTGTCATTTTTAGATTGGAACCAAGATGTAATCAATTATTTGCGGTTGACACTGACAAAAATCTAAATTAGATTAGATTGACTTTTACACTGCAGTTGCTGTCGAGTGTAGCTGTACTATAATGTCTGCGTTATAACCTATCATTGTTCCAAAAACCCAATAGTAACATATGTTACGTTTCGTAAATTGAGTACTAGTAGTTTGCTAAATATGTTATGACAGTAAAAATATGTCAATGTTGTTGTTTTTTGTTCACACAGGACATGAAATGTGAAACCTTGTGTTTGTTTGATCTGCCCATTCACCAAAATGTACAAATGTAATCCGGGAATTATATAAATTATGTTTCCCTCCAATCTTAATTGACAATGCAGTTTTCTTTTATGAAAACCTCATTTTTAGGAGCCCTGTCCGGTCAATTCAAACTAACTAGGCGATAGTCACATTCAAAATGATTCATTATTTAAAGTCACTTGCTGTTTTTATAGATTACTGCAATTTTACCAAATCTACAATGGCACTTACATAGACAAGTGTAGACACGACTGACACTTAGCATTACTAAGACAAATACATTTTACAAATATTTTATCTAATAAAGTTTTTAAAGGCATCTTTTGTTTTATGTTGTCCTTTTACACCAAGGCGTTTTCATCTCAATAAACTGAGCATCTCTAAAAATGATTACTACTTAAATTAAAATATTTGTAAGCATAATTATATTGTTTAGTGTTAAATTTAAGGTATGTCTTTTTTCTTTTTCTTTGTGTAGCTTTATTTAAAATACTTAAAATACTTAGTCGTTTTAAAAAAAAATGGCAATCTTTACTAGAGTTTTTAAATCAAAAATACTCTTCTATGTTTTTGAAATAACCTCTGCTATACCATATTATACTTTTTTGTTCCAAGATCCATTTAATCCTTACTTAATACACTTTTTGTGAGGTATCAATAGTTAGCAAAATAAAACATTCATCATAACTCTTTTAGATGTCGGACAAAGTTGTTATTTATGGAGGGGAGTCTGACTTTGCATTTCCTGTTTCCATCAAAACCCTTCACATTCATACGGTCAAATCAAGTGACTCCTGGGAACATCCCAGTACAGCTTGAAGTTGTATTTTTGCTTTTTAAAAAAAACAAAAACAAGGGAAGAACCAGAGGAAGCTTACTTAGCTTACAGCCGTGTTTCTAACATTCAGTTTTCAAATGAAAGTCGTCTTTTGAAAACATTCTTTTTAAAAATAAAAACAATTTTATTATAATTAATTTAACTATTGACACATGTAAACCAACATTGTTTTTTACATATAACTGCTTAATTATTTCAGATTTTAATTAATTTCATATGCCTTTTATGTTTTTTTAATTATTGAATGAAGTAAGATTTTATACACTTAAAAAGCTGCCAGAATGCTGATTTATATAGCATTTTTTTAATATGAAACAATAAGGTCTGACATTTAGTACCAACTAAACTTATTGAAATCGTTTGGACGTTTAGTTATTGCAATTACTGTGGCAGAGCCCTGTGGCTTTGATTGAACTGATTCTGAACACACAGAAACAATATACAAATAACTGGAGCTATCGATTATCTGGCCTGCTGAGAATTTGTTACCCTGCACACTTGCAGCAGTGTTCAGCAGCAACAAAACTAAACAAGAGTAACTCTTGTTGGCTGGTTTCTTGCTTAATGGCATCCTGACAACTTGTTCCAAACCACAGCACGCGCGCACACACACACACACACACACACACACACACACACACACACACACACACACACACACACACACACACACACACACACACACTTTTAAATGACTGCTAATCTCAACATGACATTACACAGCATCCAGTATCATCATTACGTCAAGAGTTTTGACCCTTGAACACACAACATCAACACCTAACACATTCTGGCTTTGTAAAAAATCATCATACAAAAGTTCCATTATTTTTTCCTCGGTAGACATATAATTTTCTCAGAGGAACCAAAGATGAGTAACACTGTCCTGGACGTAGCTGTGCATCATCAGCTACTTTCTCTGCATTCTTGTTTTCTTTGCCCTGGTTGCTCAGTCAGAAAACTCTTAAGAGCATGTAGTGAACGTTCCAACAGCCATAGGACCATAGGACCATTTTCCTCACATGGTTAAGAAACCAGCAAAATGGCGGCAGACATTTTTGGAAAGGATGATTAAGGGCCCGGTCAGACCAGAAATAATGATATAAGAAATCATTTCAGCTGAAAATCAATTTCATTCAAAACTAATTACAACAATTTGCTCATTTAGAAATCCTGATAAAATCACAATCTCTTCATAAGTGGCTATTGCCATGCTAGTTAGCTGGAGGCATTTTGTTGATGGCTAGTGCTACTGTAGTTCTAAAAAATTATTAAATAGACTTTAAATAGCGAAATACACAATGAAGTCATTGTGCTGAGATGTAATTCAATTCATTCATTTAGATTTTGTCTGGCTAGCGGCTGATAGTAAGTTCTTCACTGGCAGTAAGTAAATAATATGTTAGCTTGGCATGCTATTGTGGCTGGTTAAAATTATTCCAGTAAAAACACTGCAGCTCTAATAAAACAGATTTTTGCAAGATAAGAATAATACAATAATGTTAATAAAACAATTTGAGCCAGTAAAACATTTGGCTGGTATGAAACAGTTAGTTGTCTGCTAGCTTAGTGTGCAATAATTGTAGCAGGCTTCAACATGTTTTCTGCAAAAATACTGGAACAAAATTAAAGGAACAAAAGCCAAATGTGATATTTTCTGTTGAGAATGGAGCAGCTTCCTAACTGGCAGTTGGCAGCAAGCTAGCTTGGTGAGCTATTTTGTCTGGTTAACAAAAGCACATTCCAAGCTAGCATGTTAACAATTAGCTTACATCCGTAAATAGTAATTTTGCAATCATATACCATTTATATTTAGCTGCTATATTAAATATATTCCCTTATTTACAATTAATATATTTTTGTTTAATAACCCAAATGTGTCATTATTCCTCGTACTACTCAGACAGATACACAAGGATTGTAATACTACGTTCAGCAGTCTTGTTTATACATTTGTTTTTGAAAAGTTGTCACTAGGTTCTTTATTTTTATGTACTCACAATTGTATCATTGTAATTAAGTAATGCATAATGTATTTATTTTTATTATTTAAAGTTATAATTTTGAGATACTGTAACTGGCTTATTAAATATCCACATGTCTATGTTTATAAATGGGAGAATGTAAACTCACCCTTGAAACAACACCTCACAAGACATTAAGACCTGGTTGTCCTAAATGTAGCTCTAAACCCAACTACCTCACCAAGCTTTAACTCAACCTAGAATTTAAGTCACTTTCTTGTCTGACCGGGCAAAAAGAGAAAGACTTGACGTAAAACTGGGAAAAAGTTACTTTTGTTATACGTTTTGAAACAAAAAGCTTTTTTAAAAAAAAAGATTTTTGGCCGAAGCGAAGTGCATTATGTAGCTTATTTAGCCTGTTCAAAGTGTTCAGAATGATCTGATTTAATCACAGTTTGATGAGTATTGAAACTCACGATTTCAGAAAAAACATTAATGGAGAGATGAAGACAGAGAGGGATGAGTTACTGCTTTATGTTGGTGAAGAATCCTGCAGAAGATCCATTGGTTTCGCTTTCAGTCCTTTCAGAATAAAACTCACTTGCTTCCAAGTTCTCTTTTTTAATCTGTGAACCTGCAAAAACAAAAGTAGAGATTTAGAAAATCCCTTGAAACAGTTCTGACATTTTATAGGGAAGTTATAGAAGTGTTATTAATATGTTTGGTGTTGTCGTTAGTAATGTTTTTTTAATTTAATTGTATTGCTTTCTTCTATTTATTTATTTTTTGTTGAAGTCATTGTTTTATGTTTTGATCTTTAATATTAGTTGTAATTATTAGCGTTGGTTTTTTTGTGTGTTTTAAAATATATTCTTCCTATGTTTTTTTAATCATCTGTGTTTACATGGAAAATAAGCATTGCATTGCATGTTTTACAATGACAATGTTGCACAATATTAATGTAATTATTATTATGTTTTTAATGTATTTATTTGTTTATTGTTATATATTCATATTTGAATTTTTTTACATATATTTGTATTTTTTGCAAACAATATATTAAATTCTTGCTAATATTATATTTAATTTAGCTATTACCATTGGAATGTAACTTGTATTTGTTTATTTAAATGATATTAACTAAATATTTTGTTTCTAATTACAATTATTTTCTATTAACTAAAACATTCAAAGTTTGTCTTTTATGACGCTTTCTACATGTAGTACTTTTACATAAATGCACAAGTATTAATAATGTAATGATATCATATATAATAGTTGAAAAGTCACAGCATTGGACATTTTTATAATTTTAATAACTTTAAGTTATTATTTAGTGAAATCTTATTTTTTATAAATGTATGGCAAAATGCAGACAAAAATCCATTCCAGTGTTTTTATTATTTTAAATATATTGTATATTAATTCTCAGTGCACCGCCGTTAACAGCAGTGAAGCACAACTTGTGTTAGTACTTTTGACCGCAGTATAGTATCTGTGTGTTTGTGTACCTGCTCCCCCATCAGTGTTGGGGCTGCTCTCCAGGTCAACTGGGGGGGGCGGGGCTGCAGGAGTGGGGGGTGATGGGTAATTTGGTGGTGTCTCGTTCTCGTCTCCTGATATGCTCCTGGAGATGCCCGTTACTATAGTGCCAGAGAAGCTGACCGGTCGCTTAGCAACAGGCAACTTCCTCTCTGAGGGGAGAAGAAGGTGAAGTCAGTAAAACTGTGAAAAGTAATACATGATGAAGCAAAAAGTATTCTTACAACACTAAAATAAGTTATTAAATCAGAAAACAATATTTACACAACTTTTAGTTGAATTTTCCTGGTAATTCACAATAAACAATAACAATAGTTACAAAATATATATATTCAGGTTCAAATTATATTTTTGAAACATAAACACAGACACATGAATTTTTATAAATTATAAAAGAGGAAGGGCAACGCGCTTGGGCTGCAAAAAAGATAAACATAAATATATTTTTTACCGAATTCTTATAATTTAACGAAATAAAAAAGGAAAATTAAAACTGCTGTCGCACATGTGCGCGCAGTGATGAGCGGGCCCTCGCGTCCGTGCGCCTGTCGGGGAGGGCAGCCGGTCGTCCCGGCGTCAAGCAGACGCGCGCGAGTCCTGGGAAATGAGCCGTTTGTCATTTCTATAATTTTCGCGTCACAGACTCCCAGGTCCTCCGGCAGCGACCCGGAAACGGATGTCGGCGCGCCGTCTCGAAGGAAAACAAATTTCTCTAAAGGGTCGTCGAGGATCGATTATCGAAGAGGCTGTCTGGAGGAGCCGTAACCGAGGATACACTGATTTAGAGGAGAGAGGAGTCTCTCTGGAGGAGCTATAACCGAGGGTACAAAGATGTAGAGGAGAGA